TGGCGGTTGGCTGTTGGCGGTGCTGTGGCGAGGGCAGACGCGCGGCCGCGCACAACCCCTACAGCCTCTCACGCGCGACAGCGCCGCCCCCCAGCCCCTGTGTGTGCAATACAAGGAGCAAATCAGCTCTGCCTCGTTGTTAGAAATGCCCCTTCCTCACGACACCCGGAGCCCAGATAACCCGGGGCACGGGCCTGAGGACAGCGATGCCCTGATGGCGACGTGTATCTGAGGGGAAAGAAATGTAGGGGGCAAGGACAGGAGAAATCTGCAGGAAGGAGGGAGCAGCTAGGCAGGAGCAATGTGCAGTGCCAGTGAAGTGAAACCTTTCATACGCAACCCTCCGCTGCCTCCCTTACCTGTCATAAAGAGGATGAAGGGTGTATGCTCTTCTTCCCCTCCTGCTTTTAAGGCAAAAGGAAAGGAGTTTTTTCTTTGCCGGTTAATTTTTAACGATTGAAAATGTGAAAACAGATTTAGGATACAAAATTCAGGCTGATATTTTTAGATTTTAAAAAAAGCTTTGCTTTCCAATAATTTTGCTACACATAAGTTAACGTCACGGTGAGTTTGAACATGTTGCGATTCATCTAATGACATGTCTAACACACGCACAAAAGTATCTGAATATCCAGCACAGCGACGTGATGATTCTCCTTACGGCCAGAGTAAGCCAGGGTGCTGCAGGATATGGGCTGGTGATTCAGTGGGGAAGCGGTGATTCGTCAGCCCCAAGAGCAGCAGAGCGATAAGTTGAACAGGTCGCTGAAGGTGCCTGGTGATGCTAAGTAATTTTGAGGCCCAGACCCTGAACAGTCAGGAAAGAGTCCTTTGGGATCAGGTAGACTTTCCTGAACAGTTTCTAGTTACTACTGTATATTTGCCCTATCCATATTTCTCTGTAATTTCAATACATTGAATCACCCACTTAAAGAAGTGTATATCACAGCTGTGCTGATGCCAAATGGTTGCCATATAGACACCTCATGTGACTATTTCAAGAACAGGGGAAGTGACACAAAGCCTACACAGCCAGCTAATGGCCCTTAATTTGCACATGTAGCTCCCACCGCCAGCCTGCTGTCCCAAGTCTGGGAAGCCCTTTATGATGAAATGTGCTATGTGAACTTAAGTGGAGTTATTAGGAAGGTATATGAATCTGATACAAGGCTTTGTGATGAGGTCCAGCAACACAACAGCCAACATCCAGAGAGATAAAATACACTGGTTGTTTTATAATACATTGGTTGTTTGTGTTCATTTGGAATTACTGGAATTCTGATCAGAAAAATAAACCATGAAAAAGCGGGGAAAGCATTACTTTCTTGTGTTTCTTCTACTTATTCTTCTACTTATTTTTGTCTGTTTTATTATTATTGGTATTACAGTATCATTTGCATGCCCAGCCAAGATTAAGGTGCATGCCCAGCCATGAAGATGCCAGTTACTGTACTTAAAGCTGTGATAAGAGAACAAACCTTTCCCAATGTATATAACTATTGACAAGTTAATGACAGGAATAAAGAGAAGCTAAATACGAGCAAAAGGCTGGACACTCAGGCACAGAATGATTACATCGTTAGCTCAAAATAACACAATAAGGCTGTGACACAGCCAGAAATTGAACCCAGATAACCTGAGTCCCAGCAATGGTTCTTGACCACAGTATTTCCTCCTGCTGCCTTTCCAATTCCATTTCAGAGCACTTTGTAACTAGATATTGCATGTCCTCTTTTTTTCTCTCCTTATGCTAAAATTATTTTCTTATATTTCTGAAATGTGCACTGCCAGCAACCTAACAATGTTTCTGGAGTAGAACCTTAGAGGAACAGCAACTGACTGAAAACCCCTTCAAGGATGTGAAAAGAAACCAGACTGACAACAACTAATGCATGTTTATATCCTGGTATAGTTAGTTTTGTACTACACAGGATTTTAGAATAAAATAATGAATATGATATTTTTTCCTAAGTTGGTATGATTTACAGATCAAAAGAAAATGAAGATGCTGTGTTGTACATAGAATGAGTGGGTGGTGGAGAAAAATACTCTTTCAGGAATCTTCAGATTATTACAAAATTTTAAATTCCTGTATCCGTACCACTGGAGCTGTTCTCATCTTATATCTCATAAGCTGAACATGGATATGTACCTTTTCTATTTACTCTATTGAAAACAATGCGAGTCTTTTAACGTTGGGTACCTGGTACCTGACCTATACATTAAATAAAGATATACAACCTAGGTTCAAATGCTGGAAAAAGCAGGGTCAACTAGCTATATATCATAGTCCTATAAACTGGAATCTCCAGGTCTCATTTTAATTTTGTTTTCCTGTTCTCTGTAATTCCTCTGATTGAACCCCCGCTCCCTCTTGTTAAGCAGTCCACTATCTTATAACTTAATTGCAGTGATTCTTTAAGAATGTTTGTGTTCTGATTTGTTTAAAAACTCTGTGCATTTCAGATTTGACATTAACATTTTACTGTTCATAATGCAGAACTGATGGTTGGTATCTAATAGGAATCTGCTGTTTGAAATGTGCATATGCTACTAATTCCAAGCTGTTAATTCGTTATTTAGATTGTGATCTTCCCCTAACAGAACAGACTGATCTCACTGTGAATTACAGGTTTCCCTCCCTTTGTGCTGTACATGCGTTCAGAAAACAGCACGTAACTCAAATTTTCATAAAGGGAACCCACTTTACAATGTAACAAATAGGGCTACGTTCCAAGACCTCAACTGTACTGATCCCCAGACCCGTTTCTACCACTTTTACAAGACAGTTTTGGTACTCACCAACAGCGGGCAGTACACACAAGCACAGGGCACTATCATAATGGGGACGGCAACTACAGAAACACGTGTTGCAGACAACGAGAGAGGAGCACAGATCCAAACAGGAGACTGGTTTGGTGCGCATCACTTCCACAATGCACTGCACAAAGCAGCTGACTGTGGGTTTCCACCACACCGATTGGATAAGAGTGAATTTACCTCTCATATAACTAATTTATAAAATTATAATATAATATAATAAAAATTTTATTATGGTAAAAAAAGGGTCATCGCAGAAAAGCAAATTTGCACGTACAGAATCTGCGTACAGCGAGGGAGAGCTGTATGCAGAATCTTTGTTTGGAGAGTGATGGAAAAGAAAAATACCAAATGTATAGAAAACATACTGAACAAGAAAGCAAAAAAAATCTGCTTTAATCAGAAATTATTTCTCAAAAACTCAGTGAAGATATGTGTTTCATTATTAAGCTAAAGAGGACAGTTTGCCAGACTCAAAGTTCCAGAGGAGTTCTTTTACTTTATAACAATTAATAGAAATGAACGAAGGTTACATTTATTTACCTGTAGATGTTATGAGGCTGAATATTTGTAAGTTTCTCTGTAAAATTCCTCCAGTGTATAACAGTGCAAATATGATTACTGTGCTTTACAACACAGTGTCTGGCAAATTCACAATCACCTGATTATCTGCCTGAATTAAATGGGGGGAAAAAACACCATAAAACAGCTTTTAGTCTAACCAAAACAGGTACCTCAATTTAGTGCTTTTCAGAAACAAGTACCTGAATTATCCCCAAAACATTAAAAAAGTTCTAGCCCAGCATAAATCTGTAATTTTCATGTTAGGCAATTTCAGCATCATGTAGTTGTGAATCATTGCACAGAATTAAAATGTATAAATGTACTACTAGATGGTTTGCTGATGGAATCTTTATGACAAATAATAGGTAAAAAGGACATTTCTTTGTGCTACACTGATCTAAAACCTTTGTTCTAGCACTGATGTACAAAGCTAAAACTTCAGTCAAATCAGTCAGCTATGCACAACTAGTTTTATCTTAATCTATGCAATTGCTCAAGCTAGCAGACAAAACATACTGAAGGCAAAATTATTCCTTTAAATTAGGAATGTCTCCTTCTTGGAATAAATTTATAAGGAAAGGATTGTCAGTAATAGAGCCATAACATAAAGTTTTCTCAGTGTCTTGTTTCTGTCTCCTGGAGAGCTAAAGAAAGCCACCCTTAGGTCACAAAAGTTTCTGAAAAAAAGTTTGTTTTTGTTTAATAGATAAAGACCTGTGTGTTAATGCAGCATTAATGAGCAGGAACAAGTGAAATATAAAAAGTACTGCAGAACTGTATACAAACAGAAAATAAGGTAAACATTTTAGTTTAAAATAAAAGTGCTACCAGTTCTTTTACCAATTCATGGAATACAAGATTGTAAGAGGTGTATGAGTAAGCTCTAGTAGCAGAGATGGATCTTCTTCATAGTGGTGCTGTCACCTCAACCCAGCTTTTCCCTGGTCAGACAAGACAAAGCCTCATAAGGTGTTCATGGCTGCCTGATGCCAAGCCAATATTGTTAAGTATATATACATTCGCTTCATAACTATTAACATTATTAACATACTGACAACAACTTGAACAATTAAAATAAAAACAATAGCATTACTATCATAACAACAACTTGAACCATTAAAATAAAAATGATAGGGTGAAAGAGCTAAGGGCAAAAAGCCTTCCAACAGGAACACATGCACCCTTTCAGTCATTATTCAATGGCTATAGCATAAGTCCCAGTCCTGTTGTCAATTAGCAAAAGAAGACACGTGTTATGATCAGGAGGAAACTGGAGGGCTCAATTTTATGGCTTCACTTCCACATCTTTC